GACGGGGAGGGGGGCTGGAAGTTGGTAGCGCGGGGAAGTTGGGGCGGTGGGAAGGACGAGCGGGCTCTGATAGGCTCCGGCTCCTTTCTTTTATCCACGGCCGGGAAGGGGGTTCCGCGCCGGGGCCGAGGGACCAATAAGAGCAGCGGCAGGCAGAGCCCTGGGCTCGCTCCTCGGGTTTTTTTAGGATATTATTATTCATTACTAGGCTTGGCTTCCTTCTGATGGAAAGCTGGGGTCCCCCCCGGATGGAAAAGATATTGGGGTGAGAAACGACGAGGAAAAGTTTGGGAAAGGTTTTTGTGTGTTTTGTGGCTAAGCTGAGCGTCCCTGCGGGTTTCAGGGAGGGGAATGATCTCCACCCGGACTGGGGAATTGCAGTGTGGATTTAAAAGGAAAAAAAAAAAAAGGTTGAGAAATTAAAAACAAAGTCAATTACAATAAATAATAAAGTTAAAATACAGATAGAAATTAAATTAAAATAAAAATTTGTAATAAATAAAAACCAAACCCCAAATAAAATTAAATACTAATTTGGCACTTTCAGGTAGATAGATAGATAGATAGATAGATAGATAAATAAATAAATAAATAAAATACCCCCTCAGGTGCCCACCCGAGCCCGGCACTCACTGCCTTGCATCCCACTCCCCCAGGAGTGGCTTGGATCCACTTTTCCTCCTCTTCCCATCCCTTTCCGGGGGGTGGCTCGTCCTTCCCGGCTCTCAGCATCCCCCCGAACCTCCTGTTGTTTGGGGCCGGGTTCGGGAGCAGCCGAGCGACCGCGGTACCTCCCTTCCCCAGCCCAGGTAACTCTGCTCCCCTCCTTCATTAACACCACATCTTTAATTACGAGCCAGGCTGGGAGCGGCTCAGCCGGTGCCGTTTTTGGGGGGCTGCAGTTTCGGGGGTGGGTGCGGAGCTCCCCGCGGTTCTCCCGCACCGCCCGCCCGCTGACCCGGGACGGGCTGAACAAATAACTAATGTTTTCCCCCCAAAATAGGAGCGGGGCAAGAATCCTCCTCGCAGCGGGACGTGACGCCAGGGCTCACGAACCCTTTTGTTCGCAGCTGTAAAAGGACTTGCCGTGCAAACCGCTGGAAACTTCTCTTCCCCCTCCCTTAAAAGCCTCCCCGGGAGGGGCGGGAGCAGCCGGCGACACTTCTGGCCCGGCTGGACCCCAAATGCG